TGTGTATATACATATATATGTATGTATATATGTGTATATACATATATATGAATACATATAAGCGTATGTATTCACACATACGCTTCTATGTATGAATTCTCCCAAAAGTTATCCTACGAAAAAAATTAATGTGACAATATTATTTTTCCAGCCATTATCATCCTGTGTATCTGGGAGGTGGCTCATTGTCTTTCAAAGATGTTACCAGTTATTAATACGAAAGCGACAGTGTAATAGCAGGAAACGGGGAGGGCAACTCTCTTAGTAAGATAATACCATCATCACCACATATTTTAATGTCATCGTTACCAACCGTAATGGAAAGTTTAAAACACTGGCTGATGAGCTGCTTTCTGACTTACAGAAGAGTATTTTGAATTTTTCCTTTGAAAAACTGAAAAGTGACTTTAATTACCTACTGCTATCAGAGCAGTCAAGCCCTCACTTTTAGCACTTTCCAATTCCTTTCCTGAAACACCAGAATCCCCATCTTAGCTGTTCTTCTTGCATGTTGAAAGCGTTAGCCATACACAATCATTCACCTTGCCAAGAGAGGCTGAAGCGCTGCATTTTAAAGACAATATTGTGGTGCTTCCTGCCACAGCAGTGACTAAACATGCAGCAAAGAGAAAATCATGTCTCATTTTTATTCCTTCTTGGAAACACGTTTGTTCAACAGATGTCGTTAAGGTTTTTGGGCTTCTATTAATCAACATTTTAATTTTAATTTATTAGAGTATAGAAATAGCCTGATAGGAGTGTGAATATTTGCTTATCATGAAATCACAGAGTTTAAAGCAACTTTAAAAGACCATCTAATACAGTTCCAAAAGCCAAAGAAAGACAACACTTAAAATGATTGGGGTATAAGACTATTTTTGCTTAAAAGTCTGAAACAATAGATTCTTTGACTTTATTCATTAATTCATTTTGGCATTTCATTCAAAAGTTCTTCCTGGGCCAGGTGCAGCGGCTCACGCCTATAATCTCAGCACTTGGCGGGGCTGAGGCGGTCAGATCACTTGAGGTCAGGAGTTCGAGATCAGCCTGACCAACATGGAGAAACCCTGTCTCTACTAAAAATACAAAATTAGCCTGGTGTGGTGGTGCATGCCGGTAATCCCAGCTACTCGGGAGGCTGAGACAGGAGAATCACTTGAACCCGGGAGGTGGAGGTTGCAGTGAGCCAAGATCGCGCCATTGCACTCCAGTTTGGGCAACAACAGGGAAACTCCTTCCCAAAAAAAAAAAAAAAAAAAAAAGTTCATCCTGATATTAGGGCTAAGTTCTCACTATTCCAATTTGAGCTTCATAGTCAACCTCCACGAACATGTAATGAAGCTAATTTGTTTTCTCTGTCCATTCGAACAGTGTAGAGTAAGGAATTCTACTCTGAACTGCCTACTCTGCAGAGCAAACAGACTCAGTTTCTTCCACTTTGTCCTTGGCTCCTACACCGCAATTCACATTGAGTCATTTTCCCTTTTTTTACTAACAGGGCCATCTCCACATTTGCTTGCTTTTCTTGTGATCACTGGGATTAGAAATAACAAGGTCCCAAACTAGCTACATGCTTTCATTTTGAGTGTATGAATGTGTGTGAAGCCTCAGCATAAATACAGGCAAATATGGAGAACTGAAATGTATGGAAAAGACATTTTAAAAATAAAATGTATGGGCTATATGTTATGGTGTTCATAAATTGTTTTTCCATTCCTGGCCGGGCGCAGTGGCTCACGCCTGTAATCCCAGCACTTTGGGAGGCTGAGGTGGGCAGATCACCTGAGGTCAGGAGTTCGAGACCAGCCTGGCCAACATGGGGAAACCTTGTCTCTACTAAAAACATAAAAAATTAGCTGGGCATGGTGGCAAATGCCTAATGTTAACATTCCTAATGTTAGCACCATATTTTCATTTTGTTTTTGAACTTAATGGATGAGTTTACATTTTATACTCAAATATGTGAGCTTATACTTTAATATCAACTAAGATTATATACACTATTTTAGATATGCCATCTCCCATCTTAGGACCCTATTTACCTACTTAAACGAAGTCACTGGCATTTTAAATAGTTTCATCACATTAAAACATACCCAAATTGGACAGAAGCATCAAAATAAAGCAGATACTCCCCAGGGAAGAGAGTTCACTGAGGAAGGCTCGTGTGGCAGAACAGTATTGGGAAAGTAAGGAGCGGGGAGTGACACTATTTTTTAGATCCTTACCTGACATCTGTGGTGGGAGTGACACTATTTTTAGATCCTTACCTGACGTCGGTGCACGTAATGCAAGTGATGTTCCGACTATTTGTTGCGATCAGGTGCAAAGCTACTGATGTTTCCTTGTCAGAGGTGGGGTGTGCTCCACATTTAAAGAAAAATTCCTGAAAGAAAGTTAAATATAATCACACACACGAATCCCGGCTGCTCGTTTTTCCTCTAAACATTTCGACAGTAAACAATCTCTTTGGGCAAGAGAAGACATCTGTTATGAGGTGGGAGATGGAGATAAATCAGCAGCAAACCTTTCTCAGGAGAGGATGACCTTGTGCCAAAGTGGTCAACATTTCCCTTTCAGAAGGGCCCTGAGTCTCTGCTATTCTTTTGCTCTTTAAGCGAGGGAGCTGGAGAAATACGCTGTGGCCTTCATTTAGCCATGTCCATCAATGATAATAAGTGAGTCTAGAAGAATCACACGACATGGAGGTGGGAGGAAGCCTCTCACTAATGAGGAAAGGGAGACGCGAAGCCATGAAATGAGGTGCCCGCGGTCAAATAGTTAAGAGGTGAAGCCAAGAAGTAACTCAAGCTCCCCGCAGGGAAATCCAGTGCTTTTTCTCCAGTATCACTACATGGTTAGTCATTTAGCAGAGTCAGGAATTGAGAGAGCCCTACTGTAAATAGCCACATAAGTACACATGGACTCCTGGTAGACACAGAAGTGCAGCAGAGGCTGGGTGCGATGGCTCACGCCTGTAATCCCAGCACTTAGAGAGGCTGAGGCGGGCGGATCATGAAGTCAGGAGTTCGAGACCAGCCTGGCCAACATGGCGAAACCCCATCTCTACTAAAAATACAAACATTAGCCGGGCGTGGTGGCACATGACTGTAATCCTAGCCACTCGGGAGGCTGAGGCAGGAGAACCGCTGGAGCCCGGCTGAGGCGGGAGTATCACTTGAGGTTTCAGTGAGATGAGATCAGCCCACTACATTCCAGCCAAGAGTGCAGCAGAGCATGGCTCTCCCAGCCCCATCTGGAATCTGCCCCTTTTCTGCCTGGCATCAACACTTCAGCATTCCCGCAAAGACTCTGCCGCCCACCCTCTGTGCCAGGCAACTGGAATGTTCCAATCCAGTATCTTGCTGCTGCTTAGTTCCTTTCCCCAGCCAGGTCCTGCCACATACTCCCTCATTTTAGCTTTTCACATAGGTCATGTTCTTTTGATTGATAATATTCTCCCTTCTCAACCACATTTTTTCTTCACTTGTTCCTTTTCTAACTTCTATATTTGTTCTCACTCTCCTTCTGTTCACTCATACACCAAGCCAGCAATTGCTCTGCTTCTTGTCCCACAGTCTGTATGCCTTCCATGATACTAACATCTGTGAAGCTAAATTTTCTGCTACTGAAAAATTAATACATATATATTACTGGATGACAGACAAACCCCTGCATACCACACTTACTCCTAACTCCACTAGTGTTTAACTACCTGAAATGTGGAAAGGAGTTTCCCTTAAAACCCTTGACCTGGTAATGGCAAACTTGGATGTAAAGTGCCAGATATTAAATATTAAGTGTTTTTGGTTTTGTGGGTTATATGGCCTTTGTCACACTTCTCAACTTGGCCTTGTAGCTAAAAATAGCCATAAACAGTATGCAAATGAATGGGTGTGGCTGTGTCCTAATAAAACCTTTTATACAAAATATGTGGCAAGTTGGATTTTTCCCTGCAGGCCACAGTTGTCCACGATGAGACATTTGTAGAATGCTTTATTTATATTTGTATTCTTAACAGTGACTGACATAGGATAGGCATGACTTCTCTTTTTTTTTTTTTTTTTTGAGATGGAGTGTCTGTCGCCCAGGCTTGAGTGCAGTGGCGCGATCTCGGCTCACAGCAAACTCTGCCTCCCGGGTTCACACCATTCTTCTGCGTCAGCCTCCCGAGTAGCTGGGACTACAGGTGGCTACCACCACACCCGGCTAATTTTTTGTATTAGTAGAGACAGGGTTTCACCGTTTTAGTCAGGATGGCCTCGATCTCCTGACCTTGTGATCCACCCACCTTGGCCTCCCAAAGTGCTGGGATTACAGGTGTGAGCCACCGTGCCTGGCCTGACATATACTTCTTAAATGAAAAACAATAGATTAATCAACACTATTGAATCAATGCTATTTATCATTTATTTAATGAATGCTATATGTTATCCCCTTATATGTTTGACTGCAACATTTATTTTCTTCTTTTCCTATTTATAATTTACTAACCTCATTCTCCTCTGACATGTGACACCCTGAGCAACACCACTTGGTCTGAAGCTGTTGTGTGCATCAGAATTACTTGGGTGGGAGAGGGCACGGGTTTGTTAAACCAGAGATCGCTGAACCCACCCTGGGATTTTGTAAATTCTGGGATGGCATCAAGATTCGCATTTCTAACAACTTGCCATTTGATGTTGTTCCTGCCACTCAGGGGAATACACCGTGAGAAACCTTGAGCTCCACCAATATCAGAGGCAAAGTGAGTCAACTCTAGTTACTCTCTCGTAAGTCCGCTGCTGCAGCCGGTCGCTTACCATGTCTGAAAATAATGCTACATCTTACGTAAAATATGTGACTCTCAAAAATCTGGAGTGTGCCATTTTACTTTGTTTTGAGACACAGCCTCACTCTGTTGCCTAGGCTGGAATGCATTAGCGCAATCTTGGCTCACTGCAACCTTCGTCTTTCAGGTTCAAGTGATTCTCCCTCCTTGGCTTCCCAAGAAGCTGTGATTACAGGCAACCGTCATCATGCCAGGCTAATTTTTGCATTTTTGTAGAGACAGGGTTTCACCATGTTGGCCAGGCTGGTCTCGAACTCCAGTGATCCGCCTGCCTCAGCTTCACAAAGTGCTGGGATTACAGGTGTGGGCCACTGCGCCCGGCTGAGTGTGCCATTTTAAAAAGAAGTATCCCAAAGTCAGGGATTTGGAACCCAGGCTGTTCTTCACTACAAGGCTCACCAATCCCAGGTGGTATAATTTAGTTAACTAAACCTATCCTATCTGGGGCAGTGGAATATCAACCGGCCCTCACACTTACAGTCCTCAGCCCATGGAGGCGTGTGTGTGGAGTCTTGCTGGAGTGGACGGGATGTCCAGTGTGCGTGATGGGTCCAGGCTCAGGCATGCCTGTGGAGTCCTGCCCATGAGTCCAGGACCTTCCCCACAGCAGCATGGAAATCATGCTGGCTGATTTTTTTGTTTGGTTATGTTCTGTTTTCCTGAACATAGCATCCCATTATTTTTACTCAATCTTTTGAAATGCGACAAATCCTTCAATGGCCAGCTCAAGGGTATTGAGAAAGAGATTTAAAACAATGTCTGAACACCACAGCGAAAAGTCTGAAGGACATGACTGACCCTTATGAAATACACTGAGCTAGCTACGGCTGTTTTTTGCAGACATGAAAGAAATCCTCATTCAAAACATAAAGTAATTCCTCCAAAATAGCTGAGTTGGTAGGACTATTGAGAAAGTGTTTCATATACAGATAAATAGATATAAAGCATTTATGTTTTTTCTTACCTTCAGAAAGCTGCAGTAGGCATTCAGCTAACAAATCACAAATTGTTCTAACACCAGATAAAATTCAGCCAGATAAAAGTCTTTTTATTGGGGGGTAGGTGTTCATAGATAATGGTAGAAGAAGTTACAGATAGTTGAAAAATTCTAGTAATTCATACAGTGTGATAAAACTAAAACACACATTGCCAACCGTATATTAAATATGTATGCCTCATCAGTAAATTTCAGTGCTTTCTCCCACAATTTTTATGAAAGAATGTTTTTGTGTAGTACTAGAATAACTGGCAAGAACTGTGAAGAATGTGAGATTTTACCCAGCTTGCAAGTAAAATCTTGGAAGTAACAAATTAGTTTGCCGCAGTATCATAAAAGCTGACAGAAGACAAGAGACTCCTGGATCAGAGACAAAGGACTGCAGAAGTCAGAGCACAGGGAGAAAGAAGCATGAGCATCATATTATACCAGTTCCCCTCCACATGTCTCTCTCAGGGTTGAAGCAGATGGGCTAAGTGAGATTCTACAGGTACAGGGGTTGTGCATCGCAGCTGAGGACCTTGAGCTTAGGAAACTCAAATCTTCTGTAAGTAGTTCTAAGCCAGCCATCCTTTCATCCTGAAGGGAGACACTGTCTTTATTATACTGCACAGTAAGCATCTTTGCCTTCTGATCTGGAGGGAAACATTATCTTCTCTACTTTCAAGGTCATTTGCTCTAAAACTTCCTTGAAAAGGTGGGTCAGAACAAGGTAGCGCCTCCCTCAGAGATGAAGAGACACATCAGAGGCTCATGGAGAATTCAACGACACCTTTTTTTACAGGCTAATTAGCAGAGTGGTTTTTTGTTGTTGTTGTTGTTGTTTTAAATGGAGCTTTGCCTAAGCTGGAGTGCAATGGTGTGATCTTGGCTCACTGCAGCCTCCGACTCCCGGGTTCAATTGATTCTCCTGCCTCAGCCTCCTGACTAGCTGGGATTATAGGCATGTGCCACCATGCCCAACTAATTTTTTGTATTTTTAGTAGAGATGGGGTTTCACCATGTTAGTCAGCTGGTCTCGAACTCCAGACCTCAGGTGATCCACCCGCCTCGGCCTCCCAAAGTGCTAGGATTACAGGTGTGAGCCACTGTGCCCGGTCGATCTGGTCATTTCTGCTCCTATACAATCCGTGGGCTGGATTGTTGAAGTCTTTTCTGTCATTTCCGTTTTCAAAACCAGCGGACAATAAGGGAACACACAACAGAAGTTAGAAGGGCCTTTTTCGAAAATTCCACCTTGGGTGTGTGGGACGGCTTTGCTCACACACGGGTGTCATCTCACAGACAGTGGCATGATTCTTTGGGATCAACTGTCTCTGAATTCTGTTTTGTTTCTCTTGATTACTCAGTTTAAAAAATTTAAAAAGTCAAAGACAGGAAAGCTTTCTCGCTGGAGTCCAAGAAAGCTGGTTAGAAGGCTGGCACTGCTGCACCACTGTGAGGTCACTAGGGCATGGCAGGGCCCAAGCCAAGTGGCCCAAGAAACGTCTCCAGCAGTGCTGAGCAATAGTAGTTATGCCTGAGGCAAGGCTGCTCAAGGTGGCATTGTTGGAGTTCT